AAAAAAAAAAAGAAAAAGGGTTGCAAAATAAATAAAAGCGAAAAAAAAAACATAGCGAACAAAGGCCGATTTTAGCTTTTTGGTGTCTCGGTTTTTTCTTGAAAACACGGCGGCGCCAGCACCCTAAACCGCCATTTTGACGCCACTAATAAGTCTTCATTTGGTTTTCAAATATTTCCAATTAGCGAGAAATTCGGTATTAGTTTCAAAATTTTGATTTAAAGTTGAATTATTATTATTATTTGAAACCGTCAAATATTAACTCGGTGACATTTATTTATTTTTAAATGGAAAAATGGATAGAAATAGGGAGAGAGACAGAGAGAGAAAAGAAAATATTAAAATCAATGAGTAAACATTGTTCAGACAGATAAAAATAAAAAAAAATCAAGAAATTCAACTAATAATCGAATAATTTTTATGCAAAACACATTCGTCAATTTTTTTTTTTGTTTAATATCATTATTATCATTATGGTTTTAATTATAATTGTCGCGGTTATAATACTTTAACGACAGGAAAATCAAAAGACAAAAAACAGACGTATGAAAAAAAAGTACATAAACCAGATTAAAATGTCGCCGTAAAAAGAATGTCAAGTGCTAAAAAAAAAAAAAAAATTAAGAATGAATGTCGCCTGAAATTGTTAGTTGTTAAATTGTTAAATAAGCGTGATTGATATTTAAAGCAGACGACGCTCAACTTGTTTATACTTTTAAATCCCTTTTTTTTCCTTTTCCCCTTCCTCTCCCGACTTCCACACATGTAACTTTTTTTTTTCTTCTTCTTCCTTTTTTTTTTTTTCCTCTTCATATCCGTCGTCTTACGTAAAATAAACTCTTTAATTTATTTTTATTATATTATAAAAAGGTCAACCGATTAAATAATGTGTTGTGTTTAGAGAAAAGAAAAAAGAAAAAACATTTTCTTCAGGTATTTAGATAATTTATTATTATTATTATTATGAATGCAAAATATTTTTATTTTATTCTTTTCTTTCACCTCGATAGAGAGAGCGAGAGAGAGAGAGAGAGAGAGAGAGAGAAAACTTCCTTTCTTTCGTTCGTTCACGTCTCACATATCTATTTCATTACTTCGGTCATAAATGACTGGGCATAAAATAAAACAAGATGAAAAAAAATTATTTATTTTATCTCTTACCTATAACAACACACGCACGCGCACACGCACACACGACACACGCACGCATACACAAACGCACACACATGGAAAAAAAAAATCATCGTCGTTTTCTCTCTCTTTAACATTTGCACTTTTTTTTCCCCCCTAACTGTGAAAACATAGAAATCTATATAAAAACTTAATAAAGAAAAAGATAATGATGATGATGACGATGACGATGATGGTGATGATGATGATAATGATGATGATGAGAAAGAAAAAGAATTAAAAGGAAAAAAAAAATTCTATTTTATTTTATTTTATTTTACGACTTTGGATGACTTTTTTATATGTAAAATTAACTCCTAAAATTCCTCCTTCTCCTCCCCCTCTTCCTCCTGCTGTGTTTGTTTTAAAAGTAAATAAAAATAAATGAATCAAATATTTTATAGAAAACCGAGTAATAAGTATAACGTCTATTATAAAAAAAAAAAAAAAAGAAGACGATAAAATAAAAATCATCGTGATTTACAACTTTGGTAA